CATAACCTCCTCCTTAAAGTTATGAACCTCTAACTCCTGTATGCAAGGTAGAATGGATTCAGCTGGATGTCCTTGTGCCCTCCTATGCCAAACCAACCCCAGGAAAGCCCGTAGTGTCTGCTTGGGCTTTGGTGCGGGATACAGTCCATATTCCTTCAAGCAGAGAAACAAGCTTGATTGTGCCCCATGTTTGGCATAGGGGCTTCAGCCACTGCACATGGCAGAGCCAGGACAGGGCAGGAACCATTTCTTCGGCCATGCTTTGGAGGCTATTGGCAATCATGCCATCACAGGACTGTTTGCAGAAGCAGCTCCAGCAGTTACACTGTAAAAACAGTAGCTACCTGAAGAAGTTCCCTCTGTCAGGACAGAGACAGAAAGACCTCGCAGGCTATGCTAAGAGGTCTCAGACACGAGCTTAGCTGCTCGGATTTTAAGACAGAGGTACTTCTGCACAAGGCCAAAGGCAGAGCCTACAGCTCTTGGGGAGACCTTATACCATTTATTGAAATATAAATGAAGATTAATCCTCTCCAGGGCTAGGCAAGATAAATGACTGAGGGTTTTGAGGACTGCAGTAACTCCCACATGGTGTACCTAATTTTCTCTTTGAATATCTACCTCAATCATTCTGTACTATATGCAATCACTTATGCGTTCTGCTGTATGTATGTATATATAAACTCAAGTTTTAGGGCATAAACCAGTGTTTAGCTTTATATAGACAAGAAAAATTTCCTAGTATTAAGCTGCCCATTATAATAAACAGGATTATTAGGTGGAATAATTTATAATGATTACTATGGTGATTCCAGTGCTCCTCTTCTTTAAGATTTATTTTCATAACCCATCTAAGTAATACTTTCTTGCCTACGGAGAACTTCGCAAACCTTACATTCATTTTCATTCACATTATTAGGCTAAAAGTATTTTAAACTCCCACTCCACCCTGCTTTCACAAATGAAAAAAAGCCTGATTTCCACCTGGAAAAGAATTTTTAAAAGTCTAATTTTCTTCCTTTGACTGTTTTACTTGATGAAGAGCAATATTCAAAGGGTATGGATGTGTCCAGAATATGTTCCCTTTAAACAACATCCCTTTCTGGTGAAAGTGAAAATGAATACAAAGGTACTGGGGGGCTGAACTTACAGGCAGACAGAGAGTTTAAATTCCCTGACAATTTGTTCCTTACAGCTTCTGGCTCTGGGTTACTTCCTCATCCTCTGGTGGATATTTTCTCCCGTCTGCTGTATTTTACCAAGATACTACATTTCTTTTGTTGTCTTTGTCTCCTTTCCAGTGCCTTACACTCTGAGATCATGTAGTGAAATGCCTTGTTCTGCTGGCACAGACCTTCACACTAACAATATAGCACTGACCCGGGGGTCTGGCAAGGGGAGACGTTGCTGCCAAGTGGGACAAGCCCAGCTGGAGACACCCAAGTCATTCCAGGCCTCCAGCCAAGGGGGTCGGGGAGCTGCTTTGTAGTCGAGTTGATGCAGTCACTGGTGTTGGGACCAGCAGAGCCGTCTGCCAGGTTTCACAACTGGAGGTACCATTGTAGGAGCCTTGCACTGAGGGCAGGACTGGGGAAACAGAGACTGAAAATGGGAGTCGGTCGCCCAAGTCTCATGTCGTGGTGGACCCAAGTCACCTCACTGCACACACACTTTCCCTGATCAGAATATCTTCTTCAGCATACATGTGTGCTGAGATCTGGAGTCTGAGCGAATCATTCAAAGCTGCTAATGTTATTACAGTATAGATTTATGGGAATCTTTTTTTTCCCCATAGCCACATAAACTGGGAAAACCTAATATTCACCATCACGAAGCAGACTCTTGCTAACTTCAGAATATCACTCGCAAATGCACAGGTACAACATTTCCACACATCACGCTGTAGCTGTGTAGCTGTACTTGAGCACAGTTAGACAAAGGAAGGAATCTGATTACCCTGCAATTGAAAACAACGTGCCTGTTGCTATTGTTCCAGTGAGAATAGCATCGTCTCCCAGGCAGGGCAGAAAATTCACTTTGAACTTCCTGAGTTGACAAGGGCTTAAATCAGAACTGTAACTTTACTTTGATGTCATTTATTGTAGTTTAATACCCCTCTCTATTTATTTTTTTACAATCATGTAAAATATATAAAGAAACCTAATCTGTAAGGGAGGTGTATGAGAATTTACTGAATAGACCTTAATGGTTCCTTTATGCAGCTATAAACCACAGGGAAGCTATAAGAGCAGTCTGAACTGGACTAGGAACTTTAAATGTTATATAAATTTATTTGTCATAGTCAAAGGTTTATTGCTGTAGGTATTTGCCTTCCCCATTGTTTAACTAGGCTGTGTATTTCTCAGACAACTATGGTAAAAAACATGTTGTACAAGGACTTAAGGAGAGCTTAAAAGCAGGGGTGAATAAGCCAAATCTGCTTTTGGAAATATATTATAAAGCTGAAGTAACTTTACTGATATTAACGCAGTTATACTACTATCAATCCTGAACACCTGAAGCGCAAATATGGCTACGATAGAGTTAATTTTTAATTCCCGCCCCCCCCCCTGGCTAATCTGGAATAATTCAGTGAAGCTGATTATAGAATTTTTCTTAATTTCCATCCATAGAAATCAAAGAAGACTCTGCCCCTAAACTAAGTAGGGTTTTCCATCTCACCTTTAAAGCATTAGCTATCTAACACCTTCTTGCTGTATATTATAGATAAGCCGCTGAATGGTGTTAGTGAGTGCATATAGAGTCACAGGTGGCATGTTGCTGTGAATCAGAATGGCTCCTCTGAAATCAGCACTTTTGATTCACACTGGCTGTGGATCAAGCCCATGTACTCACAGCATTTTGCAAAGGTACATGTCCACTGGCAGCTAACATTTCATGTTCTTCAGGCACGCAATTTTTAAAAGCTTTAACAAACCATAACGGTAGACCACAAAGACATTTTTTAAATCATGATACATCAAACCAGACAAGGCAAAGCACAGTCCTACCAAAACGGTGGAGTGATTAAATTTGGCCAGATACAACTCTAAGTGAGAAAATTCTGAATTATTTAATAATGTACAAATCATTGGTCAGATTTAAGTTATGTAGAGTCAAAGTCAGATGCTCCATCTGAAACACAGAATATCAGAGTTTAAGAAAGGACCTATTTCAATTTTGTTCATTTTTAATGTTACATGAATTTGCAATATTTGCCCATTTTTATTCTTGCAGGCATTGAATTATTAACACACTTTTCATGGTTTTTCCGTATTTCTTTTAGTAAAAGGAACAAAAGACAACAGCATTAAGAACAATATCAAAACATACATTGTAATTTTGATGATTTATGCCAGGCATTTGCTTAGTACTCTACCACTGTGACAGTGGAAAGCAGTCTGTGGATACATATACGTATAATAAATGTATGTTCATGTTTATACACGTGTGGGAGGAAGAATACGTATGCACCAGAAATTGTGTGTGTTTTTATTAAGAAAGGTCAGAATGGAAAGAATTAAGAAAGACCCCTGGTAACATCCATCTCTATTTCTTTAAATTTCCTGTTGGATTACCTTAACTATCTCTCTGTTTTCTCTTCCATCTCAGTTAGAAAGATAACTTAAGTTATCAGCAGTAAGCTAAGGACGCAGTAAGATTCTGTATGCTTTTTTCTGGGTGATCTTTTTAATACATTGCCATTATTTGTTACGCAAATAAACAACAAAATTGGAAGACCAATGTCGTTTCAGTACAGTCCTTTGTGTATATGCACAGCATTTTATCTGTGTAAGTTTGTTGCTTTTCCCTGTGGTGGCCTAAGGCATGCCTCAAATTGCACATGCACTTTCCTGGCAGAGCCATTATTTTGTGTTTGAGAGTATCTAGTTTAATTAGCAAGCAAGTTACAGAGACGGATGATGCCAGTCAATGAGATTTCTGTGGAGGCGGTAGCTCAGGTGGTGTTTCCACAGGCCCTGGTCTACTTGGAGAGGTACAGCTGAGTGCTGTACCAAAAAAGTCATCAAATATGCATAGAAAAGTTACCTTCATTTTTAATACCAACTTTACTGGAAATAGTTATTTTATTTCAGTGTTCTTATTTTTCTCCTATTTTAAATCCATTATTTGTAATTGTGTCAGTAGACTGATTCACAACCATTGACATATTTCTTTTCATTATTAGTCCTGATTGAAATAAAAATATTAAATAAACAGAAAAAGTCGACATCTTGACTATCAGGTTAGACATTTCCATTTTAATAACATTAGGCATTAATAATGACATTTTTGTTAACAGATAACAGATAATGTTTGTACTAGGGACTGTTAGTGTTGCTATTAAGTTTTTAATTGCTGAGAACTAGAATTACTCATGATGGAAAATTTACTTAGAAAATGTAAAGTCCAAGTCTTGCAAAGCTTATTCTAGGGGCTGTCAATAACTGCATTGAAGTTTAGCATATGTATTCATCTTTGTAAAACTGGCCCCTAAACACAGACAATGGGGGTGAGGCAGCATTCATATTATTGTTAGAAATGTTATATCAATGATGTGTTTTTCATCAACTCCTTCCATCTGGCCCATCTTTCTTCTAATTGTTACTTAATTGAATACAAGCAAACAGTTGGTCCATTTTTCTTCATTATTTCATTCTGACACATTTCTATAAATGGGTTTTGTCTTACAAACATGGCAATAGCATAAATTACAAAGATGAAGCGTGTCTGAAACAAAAATTAGGATTTTTTTTTGTGTAATATTTTCTTCAGGGGTGGATGCTTTATTAAATGACAACTAAAGATATTTAAATGAGAACCTAAATCAGGCTATTTATTAAATGCTTAGCAATAAACAAGCTTATAAACAGCATGAAATGGTCACACTTTTAAAATCTGTTCATTCAGCCATATATCCCCAACACAGAGGAGCTCTCATTAGTCATAATCACTGAATTAACTTTGTGGATCCATTTTTTCCCCCCTTTTCTTTGCAGAGAGAATGTGCTAATTTCATCAAGGTGCTTAAGGCTTACAACCAAACCCACTTATATGCCTGCGGAACAGGGGCTTTTCATCCAGTCTGCACCTATATTGAAGTTGGAAGCCATCCTGAGGTAAACTATCTTAAAACAATATTTTTCTTTTTTCCTCTTTTTAATCATTAGTGGTGTTTAGCCATGACGTCTTCCTGCCAAAATGCACTCTCACTAGTTTCTGTGGCTCGGTGAGCGAATCTGGTAGGACCTGCTCCTGGATCAGGTGCTGACGTGCTGATTGATAAATCACAGCAGAATCTGTACTTTTCTCCCCTACACAGCATCTTTTCCTCCAGGGGCTTAAATAAATATGAGTAAGCCCATTCTGCTTGGTTCATGGAGTTAAAAGCACTCTCTTTTTTTGGTCAGGACAGATACCAGCTATAAGAGCTGTGTGTGCTTATTCTGGGGCCAACTCTGTCCTTTATTCTCCTACCAGTCAGTACAGTCTGACACTGTGGCAGCTTTCTCCCAGCTGGGAATTAAAATAGTGTCACACATTCATAAATCCTACTTCTCAGATTTGTCCTAACACACTGAGAGTTTTTCATATGTGACCTAGGTTTTGTTTCTTTACCTTTTAGTGAAAAATAAATCATTTTTTCCTCTCTCTTTTCCTCCATTTTTTTTAATCTGTAGTTTACTGACTTTTGCTTAGTGCTGCTGAAAGCTTGCAGTAGCTCTTGTACTGTTTTGTCAGTGATCATCATAACTAAATAGATAAGCATGGTCTTCCCTGGCGAAAAACAGTATCACTCACAGAAAGCACTGGGACTATGCTGGTTTTCCTGGCTGAAGATTTGACTAGAATGTCTCTGTGCTCTATTTCGATCCTTTTTCTCTCCAGAAGAGCCAATCTTTTATTTTCCCATTAAGATGAGTATGTAATATAAATTAGTCCACTTCATTTTCAGTCTGGCTTACCTGAGTGTTGCTCCATGGACTGTTTCAGTTTAGCAACCAGGCTCTTGATATGTTTTCAGCAGTCACTTAATTTATGGATGTGTTTTACTGGTGAATCCATAGTTGTGTTACTTGTAGCTTCTGTGATCTCCGAAGAACAGCTCTTTCAAGTTACCTTATGGTTTTACAATTCAGGTTTGCAGATTTCCCTGAAAATAAAGACATCATTGTTAAATGAATGAGGACTCAGGTATTTAAAAATCAGAATTTCTTCTTGTAGAAAAATGAACAGGCCTTTTGAGTAGTGACTTTATAGTCTGGGAACCATTTTTCCCTATAAAAATGTCTTTTGATATTTTAAACATGAGTCTTTAAAATGTTCTAAGAATAAGGTTTTGAAGGAATAAAGGAGCTGCAAAGTAGAAGGGGGTTTTTTTCATATACTTTAGTGCTTTATTCCAGCATGCATTCTTGGCAATTAGTGATTGTCTCTTGACCACACACAGTATGTCATTGCTTACTGCATTAAACAGATTCTCTGCTTCCTGAGATCCATTTGGGAATTGGTAGACATATTAATTAACTCTAGTTCCGTAAGATGTCTGTCAATCAATTCTTGGCTATCTGCCAAGTGAATCTATCTGCAGAGAGATAGCTGGTATGATGTCATTTACTTCTACATTTGGCTGTTTTATGACTGTACCATAAAACTAACACACACTTTATCAAGGATTTATAGAAAGGATGATCAGAGATGAGAGGCCAGATCCAACCTTGGTTTAACATTCTGGATTTTGACACACTTGAGTCAATGATGTGTTTGGCCTGGAGCTGAAGGAGAATGTTTGTTTTAGCTTCTTTTCAGCAGTCCTTAACTACCAACAAAATCTAAATTGTTGCATTTTTGGTCATTTATGCAGTAAGTTTGTTAGCCCCCGTGTGCCTGAATCATTCTCTTGACCCTTGGTTTTATCTTCACAAACCAGGGAAGTCAGGAGTATGTTTAACTGAACTGCCTCAGACACTATTAGCTTTTGATTTCCTTTTCATACTTAAGCTATGTGTGAAATCATCTTTACCTGCCCTTCCAGCGGCACAAGTTTCTGTGTCCTCTGGACAGTCATGCGGGAGGGGTCACTGCCTTCTCAGCCCAGGTCTGCCCATGCAGAGAGAAAGTGGGGCAGGCAGGAGGCAGCAGTACCCACCTCTTCTCAGGCTTTGGCAAATCTGACAGTCAGCCTGGGTCCTGTCCCTTGCAAAGGTGAAAATCAGATGAATAAATGAATTTATTAGGTTTGCAATGAAAAATAATCTGGCCTGTCTTTGTCTCTCAGCTAGATCCTGCTCCTTCCTTTCCCATATCACCTAGCCAGGAATTTCAAATGTGCATCCCCTCCTGGAGCTGGGGAAGAGGAGGGTGCTGGATTGACAGTAGCTATTAGAGACACCACAAATGGGGGGATACAATATTAACCCCCATACCCCTGTACACTGCATCTGTGAGAGCCAGATGGTTTATGTTGTCATGTCAGACAGCAGCACTGGACGTGTCAAAGAGCCATTGCTTCTGTATCATGTATAGTTTATATCTCCCTAGCATACTAAAAAAGGTAAAAAGTGTAAGTGAAGGCAAGCGGTTGATTTTGAGTTAAAAAATCGCCATCTAAAACATTTCCTGAAGATTCATTTTCTGCCACAACACTTGTGGCAAATTAACTGACTTCACCATCTGCTTATTTATTTTTCAAGCACTTAGAGAGGTAAATGTGAACTGATTAGGGGAATAGTCAGGGAATGTACCTACTGCCTAAAAAGATTGCTTGTTTATGTGAGCTCTGAATATAACCCACCTGCCTGAGTCTGGTGTGGGAGAGGAAATTAGTGTGTGTCAAACTGAAGAGGATGGAGAAGTGAAATTTAAAGAAATGAGTGGCAAACGATAGAAGAGACACTGGAAGCAATTGGAGCAGGCTGCAGGAGGCTGGAGTATGGTACAATTTTTATGATTGGGGAAAGGAAATAAATTACTTTGTGTGACAGTCACAAAGTAATGGGAATATGAATTGTTATATCTGTTGAATATCGCTTCGATATGAAGCAGCGTATCGCAGCCCCATTCCATACTTGAAGAAAACCATTTCTAGTGATGAAACTAGGCAGGTCTAATTGAGTTTGATGAAGTACAGTATCAGAAATAATAATAAAAAGGTAAAAGGATATGAACAGCATGCTGTGCATCTGATTAAAAATGATCTGCGCAAATGTATACAACCTAATATGTTGTGAATTACACCGCAGTCTAAGGAGTAAAGCAGACTAATCTTCACTTAAATCCATTCCAGATGTGTAAGTGAATAACCATCGTATTTAGAGAGAAGAATAAAGTTAATGTTTGAATAGACTTTAAGCATGTAAGCCATGAGTAAGCAAGAAAGAACATATTTAGAGAGAATATAGCATGTGTATATACAGAAAATACCTGAGGAGAGTTTAATTTAAAGCTCAAGATCATCCATTGGAGAGGCTATATTTGTACCTTCACTGAATGGGGCAAACTGGCTCATATGCAGATGTCTATATTGTATGTGCCTGAGTTTAGGTGAGACGACCTAACACAGACACCTACACCAACTTCAGGCATCCGAGGTTAGGTCACACGTGCCATTCTCTCCACATAACGCAATATAGTACAAGAAACCAATTACCAGACAAAACAAAAAAGTAATTAGTAAAGCTATGTTCTGCTCCCACTGACTTCTGAGGAAACAGGATTGAATGTGTAGGAATGTTGTACTTAATGGTTGCAAAATGACACAAGTCAGATCTGCGTTTGAAAGGAACAAATCCAACTGCAGGGAGGCACAGAGGCGCATTAAACCACCTAGAAAATCACAACAGGATGCAGAATGCACCTGCCTGTGCATGCCTGAGCCGGGGGAAGGAGCCCTGCTCCCTTTCCCCAGGGGTCCCTTTGGGGTAGTTTGTGTGAACCAACAGGGAACAGTCCTGTTTAGGAAAGAACAGGATTTTCCATTTACTTAACCCTTACAGGTGGAGGTATAGAGAATGCCCTATAGAACCTTTTTTTTATACGCTCAGACAAACTTTACAAGAGCTGTACAAAATTGTTTGA